TTAAAAGAGGTTTACCTGCTTTCAGCTACTCAGAAGTAAATATTTGCTGCTTTGGACCGTTTTATGTAATTACAACTTAAATATATTTGGGTCGTAGACTTTTGGTTAAAAAAAATGAAGTGATTAAGCAGTGAAAGAAGGTAAGAAGGTAAATCACTGCAAAACCAGATGAGGTCAGAGGTCAACATGTGAATGAGTAATATTTTCTGCTCTCAAAATGCGGTAGACTTCTTTAAAAAATTGTTCTTACCGATCAGAAGACAAAGAGAGGAGTCATTCTAACTGACAGGGAGCAAAATCTTCTTACATTTAAAAAAATATATATATATTATTGCTTTTCTTTAACACACAGGTTGGGGTAAGGGTTTGGAGTTAGGATTGGGATCGTCACAGATGATGACTTGGACCTCAGAGGGTTATATATTCTACCGTCCACACTAAAGCCAACCAAGTGACCCTGATGACCTGCTCCTGTTAAATATTTCACAGGACATATTCCTAAAAATATAACCCATGTTGGCGGTTGGGCCTTTTGAAATGGAAACAGAGGCAGGGTTTGTGTATGGCCACATCACACACAGTGGGGCTCAGTCACTGCTGGAGGATGAAGGAGGATGCAGGGTGCAGGCAGGGGGTGAAAGTGTAGAATGGAGGAGATAGATGAGTACCGGGCAGTGGTCCACGCAGCCCGATGGTGTCTAGAAGCACGAGCCAGCTGCACCTAACAGGGGGCCCCATTCATGCCATCAGGTGACCAAACGCATTTGCTTTGAGGCGCCGCAGACAAACGTTAGGTAGCGGTTTCTGCATTTGCAGCATGTCAGCGGTCGCGGGGACAAGAAAAAATGTGAAAAAGAAAAAGCAGAAAAAACACAGTTGCATTGATCGGGGAAGGTATTTTAGGAGATAAACTGTGAGAGACAAACAAAAATGAAAGTAAAAAGCAGAGTTTAAAAAAAGCGAGCAGCTAAGAGAATGCCGTGGGGCTGTGGGTTTGGACCGTGAGGCCGGGTGGCGGGTGGTCTGGTAGACAGGTGCTGTAACATCTGCTGCCTCCTCCGCTGGGTGTGTGACAAGCTCCTAATGAACACATCCCTGGTCAGGTCTGCACAAGCTGGACGCGCTCTAATTACTGTTATTAGGAAAATATGGATCGCTAAGTTTGTTTAACATTTTAGCTGCTGCAGCGTCTGGAAATCAGGGCAACCGCGCTCGTTTGTGTTAGATAAGTTTGCTTTCTGATAACGCTCTGTTTACTGACTGTCTTTATTGTCTTCATGTTCGTGTGTGTGATAAAGGTGGCACGTCGGTGGGGGATACAGAAGAACCGGCCGGCGATGAATTACGACAAACTCAGCAGGTCATTGCGCTACTACTACGAGAAGGGAATCATGCAGAAGGTAAAAAAATATACAAAAAAATTGTATCAACCAATTATAGTTCATCTGTTACACTGAAAGGCATCCAAAACTGTTCACCTTTTTTCTAAAAGATTTTTTGGATGTAAACATAGTATGAAAACAACTCATTTGGCTGCTATACCTGGCCTGTGTTAAAGGCGCTCCCATTCCCCCAGGTGCCTTATATAAGGAAAAGAGTGTCTCAAAAATGGTGAAACAGCTAAAAAAGTTCATTTACACTTTATAGCTAAGAAATTGTAATTGTAAAGCTTTTTTCTGTATTGTGTGCAAAAATCAGTTTTTGCCAGGCTTGCGGCTCGTGTCCGCTTTACTCTTAGAGTGAAAACACAGATATGTATGTTAATTTATCAAGTTATTCTTTGAATTAATCTTCATTATAGTGCATGTAGTA